AGAGAAGTTTCTAAAAGATATAACAGCAGAAATGAAAAAAGTTTTAAAGAAAGAACTTCAACCAATCGAAGCATCAGTGAGCTTCTGTTGCACAAAAATTGATGATCTTTCCAAAATTGTCGAAGCTCAAAACAAACATATCCAGGAATTAGAAAAGAAGTACAACTACCTTCATAACGAAAAAACCCATCTTGAGCTTGAAATGAGCTCACTGAAACAATATCTACGTAATATTGAACAACAGCGTTTAGACAATGTGATAGAAGTGATAGGTATTCCTAAAGCTAAAGATGAAAACCTTGTAAATATATCTCTCAAACTAGCTGAGACACTCAACATGGACAGGACGCAAGTAGTGAATACTACTCGTGTAGAAGGTCGAAATAACCAAGATGGAAACATCCAAGTACAGTTCAAACATGCAGAAAATGTAAGCTTATGGGTGCGAGCCTCGAAAAAGGAAGCAGTAGTGGTAGAACAAATCATCACCGAGGCCCCTGTGGAAGTTGCTAAGACGAAAGTGATCATACGACGCGCCCTGACCAAAGCCAATAAGTCGTTATTATGGCTAGCACAACAAAAACTAAGACCGGCCTACAAATACGTCTGGTTCCAAGATGGAAAGGTGCTACTACGTAAAGACGACAAATCTAAGCCAAAGGTCGCGCGAAGCGAAGCTGACATTGAGAAGCTCTCAGCACTAACGGAAATAATCGGCCAAAGTTCCAAGCGGTAATAGATTTCAAAATTAGTAACCCAAGTCCTCTTTTCTGATCATGAAGAAATATTAAATTGTGCAGATATTAACAACTTTCGCTTGCATATACCCCCTATTTATAAAATCTATCTTAATATTGTCCACATTAACATAAGATCTTTGATAAAAAATTTTTGCTATGTAACACAATTAATTAACTCTTCTAAAATGATTATTGATATTTTAATCTTAAGCGAAGTAAACATAAATAACAATATAGTTTCTATGTTTAATATTTATGGCTATAGAATGCACAGTATGTTGCGCAAAAATAGAAAAGGCGGTGGTATAATTCTATATGTTAGAGATGTTCACTCATTCGCGCCAGTAAGTCACTCGTTAATACACTGTGAGATTATTATCGGTAAGATCACTACGCCTTACAAATACTCCGCTTACATCTGTGCTGTCTATAGACCACCAAGTGAGAGTAAGCACCTATTTGTAAAGGAAATAAGTAGCCTATTATCAAAATCTATGTTTCAACTATGTGACACTTATCTCTTAGGCGACGTTAACATAGACTTAAAAACATGCGACAACATCCGAGACTACTACATTAGTAGTATGTCCGAGAGCAGGTCTAACAAGCGCGATATCCGATTACACAAGAATTGAAATACGCGGTAAGGAAACAACTCGCAGTTGCATTGATCACATTTTTACTCGTACGCGCTCGTTAGATCTGTACTCGGCCGCGCTCGGAACTGTATTGGCTGACCATCGCATGATTATACTTTCGTGCGTAAGATTCGACCAAACACAAATACAGAGTGATACAAAAATAATCCAACAGATTGATAATCATAAAGTTAAAAGTTTACTTAATAATCTAGATTGGAGCGAAGTCAGAGATACAGAGTGTCCAAATAAAATTTACAATTGCATCAAAAATAAATTCAATGATTGTTACAATAATTCAAAATATATCAAAAAAAGTAATAAAATAAGTAATAGAAATAAAGACCCCTGGATAAATAGTAAAATTAATAGCATGTGTAAAAAGAAGGACGAATTATACATTAAATGGAAAAATGATCCCACGGACAAATTACTAAGATTAGAGTATAATAAATTAAGGAATAAGACACGTAAAATAATAGAAAAGTGTAAAAATAAATATTATATGGAACAAATAAATAGTAATAAAAGGAATCTTAGAAATCTATGGCAAATTTTGAATAAACTATCTGGTCGAAACAAAAATTCAATGGATGAGGCAATATTAAAAACATTTAATAAAAATAATATTGACGCAAAATCAATAGCTAATAACTTTGCAAAAGAATTTAGAAATTGTGTTAAAAAAAATCCTGCCAAAATGTAACCAACGGCTTCTAAATGAATCAGAATATACGTTCCCCGAAAATAAATCTATGTATTTTAAAAGAGCCTCAAATGAAAGTGTGATGAAGATTGTAAGAAATCTTAAAATCAATAAAGCTCCTGGTGTGGATAATATCCGATGTATTGACATACAATCTATCTGTGATAAGATGGTAGGAATTATTGTTAAATTAATAAATAATAGCATAGGCCAAGCAAAGTATCCAGATGAATTAAAAATAGGTATAGTGAGACCGATATATAAAAAAGGTAGTCACAGTGATTATGCCAACTATAGACCAATTACTATCCTACCGGTCATTGACAAGATAGTAGAAAAATATGTTTGTAATCAGATACAAGACTTCTACAATAAAAATGACATCCTATCAAATTCACAATACGGCTTTCAACCTAACAAATCTACCTCTAAACTGCTGTCAAAATTTACAAATGATGTAAACAAATATCTAGATGACAGAAACCACGTAATTCTGTTATTCATAGACTTCAGCAAAGCATTTGATACGCTTCGACACGATATTCTCTTAAATAAACTAGAGAATACCGGTGTACGCGGCCCAATTTTAGATTGGTTCAAAGATTACCTCAATAATCGCATATATAAAGTTAAAATTTGTGATGAAGTCAGCGACGCTATAGATGTTACTGAAGGAACAGCTCAAGGGTCGGTGCTTGGACCCTTGCACTATTTAGCATACGTCAACGATATGGAACATATTGTCAACCATTGTTCCGTTTATCAATACGCAGATGACACGTGCCTTTTGGCGGCCAGCAAAGATCTAAAAGAAGCTGCTAAATGGCTGCAGCAGGATTTTACACAGGTATCCAAATGGTCACATGATGCGGGACTTGTCTTGAATGCAAATAAAACCAAAGTGATTCACGTTCACTCAAGCTATCTAAAACACAACACGTATTTTAAGATCATTGCTCACAGTCACAGATGTCTGCACAAATCAACTTCATCTTGCGCTTCAACTAACGCTTGTAAATGTGAGGCAATAGAACAAGTAACGCATCACACTTACTTAGGACTAATTATAGACAATAGATTTAGCTGGAGATTTCACATAGATTCTCTCTGTGAGAAGTTACGAGCTATACTGGCTAAATTCTATATCTTAAAGCCTAAAGTACCGTATAAAGTCCTGCTGAATATATATAAAGCCTTAGCTGAGTCAATTATATCATACGGAATCTCAAGTTATGGACGAACCTTTAAGTCATATACTGAAAAAATATATAAACTACAGCTAAGATTACTTAAACTTATTGTACCCCAAAAAATAATACAACAATATAAAGAAAACGTATTAGACATTTTTAATTACTGTAATATTTTACCAATGCATATGAAACTTCACATTACCCTATTAATTGAACAATTCAACAATAAAAGCATCCAAATACCAGTATCTCATACAGTAATTACAAGAAATATTACTAAACAAAAATTAATTGTGCCTAGGATCTCAAATTACTATGGTAGGCGAACTATTGAATTTTTAATCCCAACTTTTATAAACAACATCCCGCAAAACATTCAAAAAGATTTAAACACAAAAAACTATAAACATAAACTCAAAAAATATTATTACAATAATATAAAGAACATCGTCTTATAACATCGTTTAGAATCATAGTTATAATTTAGTTTGTATAATAGTGAAACAGCCTGTATAAAGTTAAGAAGACTGCGCTGCCTAATAGAACCGGTTCGTCGAATAGTCCCAGGTGAGAATTGCAAATGGGTGCTTACCACTTACAAGATAAAGAAGGCGTATTTATTTATATGTAAAGCAGTGCGTTAGTTACGAATGTGAGTACCAATACAAACCACTATTGGTTTAATGGTACAAATCAAGCAAATATGTAAGAATACTTTTGATAAATAATAAATTAAAAAAAAAAAAAAAAAAAAATTGTTGGCGACCGAGGTTTTTTTTGATCGGCTTGACTAACTGTCACTGCGAGGAGATATTCCATCTCTTTGCATATTTTATAGCATCTACCACGGGGAGTGCTCTGAGGAATTGTTGTATAAATAGCGGTTTGTTAATCTGTTACAGAAGAAAAGGATGCCGTCATGGTATCACCACGTGTGTAAATGAGGGCGACCTAATAATAGACTATTTTTAACACCATCATGCCCTTAGAGTAATTACTACATACACTGAGATCATGCCGTAATAATAGTCTATGGTTTACATATGCGAATATGTCGAGCCATAGGCGACGTCGCGGTCAAATTTTAAACGTACCTATGCAAAACAAAGTTGCCGCGTAAACTAGTTGAGAAATATTACTACGAGGGTGACACTGAAAATTTTTAGAAAATCAAAAACTGAGCAAACTAGCAAGTTAAATTAAATTTATTAGTTTTATTATATCTTTTCAAAATAGTTTCCATTTCCATCAATACATCGTTGCATCCGATGGAGCCACTGAGAAAAACACTTTGCCCACTCGTCCTTAGGAGTCTCTTCGACGGCATTTTAAAATGCATTTACTGCTTCGTCGGCGTTTTACTTTTATTTTCGCAAGGTGCGAAGTCGGCGCTATAGGGCGGGTGACCTAGTAATTACACGTCTGACGTCGCCAAGTAGTCGATTGTTTGCTTGACGGTGTGCGACTAGGCGTTTTCGTGGTGAAGGAGGACCCTACTGCGAGGTCGTTCCTCCCGAACTTTTCCCAAGACAAGTGGCAAACAATTGTTAGTGTACCAGTCTGCAGTAACTTTTTTGGCCCTATAAAGTAATTGTTGCGTAATGACCTGTCCTTCCGAAGAACGAGGTCACCATCTTTTTTCCCACGCTACGAAAATGGACGGTCTAGTTTCGTTAACGACAAATACGTCTACCAACCATCGCTATTATTTTTATAAAAATAATTAGTCATCTAAGCCGCCCACGTTACCCCTTATTAACTGATTTGCTTTGCCTAAAACCTTGAGGTATAGAGCGTATCAATAAGGTTTGAAATCGAGTAGATAATATGAGACTGAGGTAGCGCAGTGGCTAAAATGCGTTTCGTTGCGTCGTTGTGTCGTTGCGGCGTTGCGAGCGGCGCATTCGAATACCTCTCGGAGCAAGAATTTGCAAGGACAACAAATATAGTACGTGAGGGTAATATGGTCATCCGTAAAATTTGGTCACTTTCTTATAACTCAAAAATACTTGGCATAGATGCTTTGGAATACGATAGCTCTTCATTGGTCAGTCAAATAATAAAGGATCAAAAGGGCGATGCTTTATCGACGCCATTTTGACAGTTGACATTGTAGTAAATATTTTAGTCGAATTTAGTATGGTTAATGTAGTTAGTTTTTTTAAGTAGATTTTTCGAAGTGTTGCTAATTATTGCCAAAGCTTGTTTGCTACTTTTTTTCTTAATATATTAGTTATAGTATACGACTTTGTTTTTGTCTCTATCCTCCTCTCAGTTTTGGTTTTATAGGGCGGCAAGTCTTAAGGTGACCATATTACTCTCACTTACCTTAATTGTTTTGGGTATAAACTGCTTACACATGAGAAAGTCCAAGTGTGGTGAAAATTTCTATATAATATATCGATATAAAATATCTATATATAAATAAATACAATAAGGTAGATAATTAAAATGAAATGAAATTTGGCATATTTTGTAATATCTGGTAACATGGAGCTCAACCTGATGCTGATAAGATCAATATAAAAAGACAACTTAGTTACGCAATCGCACTGCAGGTCCAGTTGTGCGATTGCGTAACTTAAATGGTAATCGTTTGATGGCGTAGGTACTCGTTGACGAGTATTGGGACTATGCAAAAGTTAACCCGTTGCAAAAAAGAGAAATTAGGTATAAATTCAAAATGTTCATATATTATGACTCACGGTTCAGTGAAATGGAACATCGATGAAGTTTAAAATTTGTTTTAAATATCATTAAAACATGTTATAAGTGTACCTAACATTAAAAATAAGTACCTATATGTTGTAGATAATGACCCTACCATATAGTGTTTTCCCAAACTTTTTTCATTTATTCTCAAAAATCAGAATATTTTTTTACAAAACCTAAATATCAAAGAGTATAAAAGTCACTAAGTTTAAAAACTTCGAAAAGGCCGTGGAAGAGGCCCATGACGAAGAGAGTGCGCCCAATGATTCTATGAGCAGCTCCATTCCATCGAAATCGACGATGCATATACAGTAAGAATGGAAACTTCTTCAAATTTTTTTTTAGTTTCTATATGCCATGTATAAACAAAATACACTGGCTGCTTAAAGACTTTCTCCTCAGATCGCAACAGCCGATGCGGTAGCGGGATAATCTAATTATATGAAAAATAATGATAATAAAGCTATTTATTAACATAATTAAGATTCCCATTAACTACTACAATAAATTTTAAAATCGTTTTAGAAATGGTTCACCACAATTGGATGACGGTTCCGAACGTTTTGCGGTCCGTACTACTCTAAGCTACAGGTTTATTGTTGGTTTAAGGCGAGTGAAAAGTCCACCTGTTGGTAAATGTAGTAACCTACACGTTACCGGGTAGTAAGCTACACGTTCTTTGGGACTTCAGAGAACAAGATGGAATGCCTTACAGCCAGTAATTATACTGGCTCGCCATACTCTTCTTAGTGGAACATAGCAGTTCATAAAATGCTTCTGAAATGTGGTGGCAGCAGTTGTTAAGGGATTATTGATGGGAAAGAAGCCCTACTTATTAGTTACAACTGAGATTTATACGTGGTAGAGCCAAGCTGCAGTTATATTAGTAGTATAGTTGTAGCACGAATGGGTAGGCTCGACCGGGGAAGGACCACGCTCTCACAGAATACCAGCGTGAAATAGCTTAATGCTGCTGTGTTTGGTATGGTGAGTGTAGAGAATCGGAGACCCTTTTTACTGGATACGAGGCATTTCATCTTAGTCCTCACGGGTGACAACGCATCTGTATTTTGATTTGTAATCGAGGATAGATGTAGATGTCTATGGGCCACAGCAACCACTTACCATCAAGTGGACTGTGAGTTCGTTTGTCACCCTATCCTATAAAAAAAAGGTTGGTGAGAAAATACCCTCGGATCAATTTCCATTGTTGGAAAATGCAGTCCTTCGGTTCAAAACTGACTATGCGACGAAATTAACTAACCCCATAGGTATTTTTCAAAGTTATTAGTCACTTCAGCCCAGCCGATGTATTGTGACACTTGAGGGCTATAATGTAATGCCTGTGTACCTAAATAAAATAGGTCTGTTTTCTTCAAACACAATATTGCGTAAGCTGTTGCCATTTATCAGAAAAACAAGATGATTATGTCCTCCTGAATGATTTGAATGATAACTTAATATTTTAATAACTAAAGCCTCTTCATAATCCTATACAGTAATCCTATAATATTACAGAAACTTACTTTTATTGTTTCCATAAGTGATTGCACTTTATTCTCATCTAGTTCCGGTATAAATGGCCTTATAATAACGGACATTGGTATATCATGGACTTCCTCTTTGTAGGCACTGTGTATGCTAGTCATTTTTGCGGCTGGAACAAAATGTAATCAGAAATGAGAGGAGACCTGTGCCCAGAAATGGAATGTATATACGCTGTAACTTTAACTTTTTAAGATTTATAAATCTGTAAGAATGGCTATGCACTACTCTATAAAACTAATCTTAAAATTAATGCACCGATGACAAGGTTACTTGTTATACAACGGTTTATTCTGTGCTGTACTTTACGTAAACAAATAATATATAACATTAATAAAATATGTGAATGAAAATGCAAAACGATGTTGCATTATTAAAGGTATAATATACCTAGTTTATTTTTCACAGGTAAGTAATAATTTTTAAATAAAGTTTAGGTTATGTCCCTTACATAAATATGATCTATTAAACATTTAATTTAAAAAAGACAATGATCCTATGTTGTGATTGGAAGTAAATTGTGAATACGAATTACAAAACTCTGTGAACTAATATAACCTACCTAATAACCTGTGAAATTAATTGTGGCGTAATATACATAATTACTAACCTATTGTGCTACTTAATAAAAACACTCGATATTATTTAATTTTTAAAATTACTTACAATTTTTAGCGATAGACACGAACTTGCTTGACAGAATTGTTATGAATTTTAACATGTCCGTTATATAAGTAACGAGTCGGTCTGATGACCGCACTACACTGACTCAACCATTGCCGTTTGTCATGGATTACTTATTCATTCACTTGTGAAGGTCATTACAACACTGATAAAAACGTACACAAACAAATGTTTTATCAACATTAAGGTGCATGGTTAAGCAAAATGCCGCGCTAGCACAGAAATAGTATCTAATAATAAGACAATTGTCTTATTAATACGATTTCTATGCGCGCTAGTCGCTATTGGTGAGGTTAAAAACCTCACAAATAGCGACTACTTGTTATTAAAGAGATATATCAACTAATAAAAAATCTATTAAATTTCTATATATCCTTGATTCTATAATAGCCAATTCCAATATTTTTTGAAAGGAGTAAATACTTGATGAATCTCCCTGCAACTAAATCACAGAAATGCGAAATAATTATTGATAACTTGCATCTCCTCATCAAGTACCTAAGCATTACTTTATTTTGCGACTGACACTAATGAATAGGCAATTTATTGATTAATATTTTGTTCTATTTAATTTTTTCATTGAACCAAAATTCGATTTTATAAAAATATATTTGAAAAAAAACCGTATTTCTTACACGATATATTTGTAGCGAGAGCGCGTGGAGTGTAGAAGCATAGACGGACCCATAGAATGCTATACTAATACATACGTAATAGAACGGGGGAGTGGGCGATGGGCGTAGCCCGTGTAGCCACTAATATGTCAATTCACACCTATAAATGTCAACACAATCAATCGTTTCCAATTTTCGTGTCAAGCGTCGCTGCATGCAAATTATTTAAAAAATGGCAAATCGTGCAATATTTACGTGTCGAAAAAACAGCGGTAAATGGAATTTAAACAAAGGAGGCGTATCCTACAACCAGTAAGTCGAAACTATTTATATTTTGTAAATATTGGAAATAAAAATAAAGACATATTGATGTGATTTTAATAAAAAGTTTAAAATGTGAAAATTTGCTCAGTCTGTCCACACAGCGAATCGGGTTCGTAGTAGTGATAATACGGCGTAATTGCTTGTATGTGTGATCCTGGCGACGCCGATCCCCGTACAAAATAAGTTTGACAGCCATTCTATTGTGTATTATAGTATTCTATGGACGGACCCATAGAATACTATAATATTATGTATGTATTATAGTGTTCTATGGACGAACCGAATGCTCAAGTTCGTTCGCTAGGAGTAGCGGCTTAAGAGCAGTGTTGCCGTTTCAGCGCATTTGGCGCTAGATCTGTTGCATTTACTTTTTATTACTAGTTAAAACTACTAAACAGACTAGATATTTTTAGCGCTAAACTATAATTGAGAGAAATAGAGGATACCTTGATAATGAATCGTAGTTTTGTGGGCGTGGCTTATCCCTTTGTCAGGGAAGCTCACGGACACTCACGGAAGACTGAGAGAGTGTCAAAATGAAAGTGATGCAATGACTTCGTAATACGCAAATTATGATATAGCGCCAAACGTTTTTTTTATTAAAAAAATTTTGTTATGGATTAAAAAAATGGTTTGTAAGGACTAAGATATGTTTATTTACTACACCTTAAAAATAATTCCATAAACTTATTCGTAAAAATACTGTGGTGAGATTAGATTAGACCGATCGAGAAAATTACGTTATCGTGTTTTTCTTCTATACCAAAAAATCATATAAGTACCAATTCGTAATCTATAAAACTTATTAAAATAGGTCCCCCAAATTTTCGAGGTATCACCTTAAGAAAGGTTATCATATAATTATTTGTAGTAAATAAAGCCATGAAACTCTATATTTGTAGTAAATAAAGCCATGAAACTCTAAAAATTACCGGTCTCAAACGATTTCTAAAAGAAGTCGTTCGAGGAAGAAAACTAATAAATCGCATAGAGTTAGTTCGCCCAGCATCCAGATGGTGCGGATGGTATCGTGAGTATTTGCGACGGTAGTATTTTGCGGCAGTAATTATTCTGAAAAATGCCTCCGAGCACTCCTCGTCGTAAATGTGACAGAAAATGCAAACATGGCTTCGCAGCACCAGTAAATCGAGTCGATCAGAAAGAACTCATGGTAGAGCCATGGTGCAGCTCCATTTTAGTTGTAGCACGAACGGGCAGGCTCGACCGGGGAAGTAAGACGCTCTCACGGAATACCAGCGTAAAACTTCGTATAGTGAGTGTAGATAACCGGAAACCCTTTTAACTGGATTCTTGGAGTCTCTTTTTACTGGCTACGAGGCATTTCATCTTAGTCCTCACTGGTGACAACGCATCTACATTCTGATTCGTAATCGAGGAGAGATGTAGATGTCTATGGAGCCACAGCACTCACCATCAGGTGAACCGTGTGCTCGTTTTGTCACCCTTATACTATAAAATAAACTCTATTGTCGACAATTCAAGCTTGACATGGTTAGGCAGTTAAAGCAGCACTGGAGTGCTCAAACCCAGAGATTAGAATAGTATTCCATTTAGTAGCTTTAATTTTGCATATTTTTTGTTGTTTGTACAACGCGGTCACATTAACTTGACGCATGGCTTTGATGACGTCATTTACAACAGTGTAACAAAGATGCTAACCATACTGACGATTGCCGGGCGAGCTAAGGGATTGCGGGGGATGCGGGCGGGGCCTCGCATTCCAGCGATGCGTCAAGTTAATGTGACCGCAATATATGTATGTTCATTATTAGAAAAGATGCTTTGTTTAATAGGTTTGCCTATGTGTATACTTTTCCTATTTTGAATAAAGAATATCATTGGCCTTTAAAAAATAACAACATAATATGATACCTGTGCAATTTCTTCCCGGGATAAATAATTAGTTTTGAAACTGTAGTACATCAAAAACTATGTCGGCGTTTGACGATATTATATTTTTTACGTCGAAATTCTATGTGCAACAAGGGTATATGTGCTTATAAATAAATGAAGGAAAAATAAAACACACTTGTAACTACACAAAAATGTATTTTTGTCAATCTGGTGATCGCAATAAAATTGAAATCGTCGTATACATGGTGTGCACGCCGCCGCTTTCGGTTAATTTCAATTTAATCGTGAATTTATGTATATGATATAGTTTATTGAAATCTTGTTATAAATAAGTACTTACTGGCGCAAAGTCTTTGTAAAATTCTAACGGCAGCGGTGCAATATCTGTAGCAATTTTAAAACATTTTCATTTTTTACTCGTATACTGTTTCAGATATTCGAATTAGAACACATCAACTTAACTCTATATAATTTTTCTCATAATCAAACTATCACTAAGTTTATTCGTTTTCATTGTATTTTTGTAATTCATTATCGTATATTCAATTTGCTCAAATCAACTGGAAGTACGAAAAATAATAAAACCATGATTTACCTTAAAACTTATCGACTACATGAAAAAATAAAATTTCGTGCTACCAACATCATAGCACCAGATAAAAATATAATATTTTGTTCTGATATTCACAACACCCGATTTTACGCGGGAAACAAATACATGATTAGTAAAGAGTGATAAAAAATAGCTATTGTTAATAGGACTCCACGTTTAAGACGAAAATACTTAGTGTGCGCCTAACACAACCATCACTAATAAAATATTTAATTGCACACAAGACGCCGGTGCGAGCAACGTTCTATCCACTTCAGACCATCGATAGCGCTCTAAAACGTTCAATAACTAAAATTTTAATTTCACTATAACCGACTTACTGCGCCTTACTGCCTTTCAGGCACTTCAAACACTTTCTGTTACTATTTCAAAATATCAAATTGTTCAAGATACAAATGTTGATAACATAAGATTTTAAGAACTGCAGTCAACTATTGCAATCTAAAGAAATTCATCATCACATTGACTTTTTCTAGCATACAAACATATCATGCGCTTTTGCTTCTAAAATCAAAATAATATTAACACTGATAAATGTATAGTTAATTATATCTAACATTTCAGTTATGTTCTAACACTTATTCAAAATAGATTAAAGAGTACTAGAGTTTTTGAATACACTCCTTAAAATCAATATTGTTTAATGGATAAGGAATAGGTAAGTTGTTTTATTGAATTAAAAAGATGAAACTAGAAAAGTATTTGAAGAAACTAAAAAGCAAAAAATGAGATGCTCCCAAAAATAAAATTAACCTTATCATAAGCTATGTATGGTCTGCAGTAGATGAGTTGTTGCACGAAAGCACCCATAGATAGGACACTATTCAGCAATATACCTGAATACTTAGTTATATTTTACTACATTATCTTATATCTATCATATATTTATATTTACCGTATAGTAAAAGTTAGTAAACATGTAGAAACAAGAGATCTTGGATGCGTAACTAATACTGCCAAATGGTTAAGCAAAACAATTTTTTTTAGATAGTTCACTGGTCTGGTAATAATCGTAGATAGAGAAACCTATAGACTAATGATTAGCGTGGCCTCGAGTGCGAAAGGACGATAACGTAGTTTTAGGTTATACAATAATCTTTATGACTTTTGAACATATTTAGATAAAATTTTTAATTGTTCTAAGAACTGAACTGAACAAGATTAACCAATCTTAAGCTCATAGAACACTTTTTTTCTCACTTAAACCAACTTGTAAACTTCTAAGATCGCTACGAACTGTCAAAGTTGTTTAGCAAAGTGTAGTTTGCTAAACAAAAAAAACCGGCACGGAGCAAGGGACAAACAATCACACCGCTCTGTCTCATTTCTATGCAAGACGTATGCATAAATCTATTTTTTTCGTGTGCGAATGCGAAAGACTTCAATTTGTCTTTAGGTTTCTCTGTCTACAGGTAATAATAATACTTAAAGCTGCGCATACAAAAACATATAAAAATGAACATATTATCACTTCCAATAAATTATCATATTATGTCATATAAATATGTATGCTTTATTTATATTCAGTTTAATTTTTTAAATAAATAAATACTAACTCCATTACTAACAAGATTATAATAAAGAATTTCATAATAGATAAAGTATACGCAG